ACTGCTGTGTGTGTGCACTTTGGATGGGATAAATGCAGAGCACTAATTCCGAGTATGGGTCACCATACTTGCCCACATGTCACGTCACTTTCACTTACAGAGAGGAGGGGATGTCTTCATGTCTTCAACTGAAGAATACATTCTTCAGTTCGGCAAGTACAAGGGCAAGTCTTTCAGGTGGTTACTAGAGAATGATGTCGGCTATGCTTTGTACCTGTCCGATAAGGTTGAGGAAGAAGAACAGGCTGGGCAGTTCAACCCAGAGGGTCCTTGCAAAGATAGCCTCATTTCCTTTCTTGAATACTCAAGAAGCTTTAAGGAAATTGAGGATCTTAAACGGTATCTGTCTCAAAGGCCAGATCCATTGCCAGTTTTGATAGAGGATGACAGTACTGTTGGATTTGGAACAAGGGCACAAGACACTTGGAGGAAAATTTGGGATACCAGGGCAGACGGATATGCTTTCTTTATAATGAAGCAGAAGTGTGTTCCAGGCAGCAAAATGTACAACTTGCAGCAGTATCTTTTAAAACAGCAGCAAAAACAGCTGGGGATAAACACTCCTCCATTGCCCTCACCACCAGCTTCCACTGCAAGACCACTTGTTCCTTCCAGTACTGCCTCTGATCAGCCTGGTAAGTTAATAAAATTCATGCCAATTTGCTTATATTGATTCTTAAAGCCTACTGATGCATTGATTTTGTTTTATAGTGATGGAGGACGATGAAGAACTGGAGAGGATGATGCTGAGTCTTTCTCCAACAAAATATCTCACACAGCTGAGTAAGTGAATCAAGAATCATGTCGTGTGTTATACAGAGACATGTCAAGTTCAGCATGTTTATGACGCATAAAATTGTACATACTGGAGCAAAACTGTTCAAATTATCACGCTTAAGTTTCAGGATCATCTGCAGCCACGGGATCCACAGTCTTATCTACAGCAGGTTATTTTCCACATCAGATTTGGAGGCTTATTCTGTTACATACAGACTTATCCTCCATTTCTGAATTTAATTATCTTATTTGTTGTTTTGGCAGTGTTCTTGCCTGTTCTACAAAACATGTTCTTTTGTTCTAACTACTGTTAAGGGTTGAACATACCAGTGGTGAGGGTGAGTGCACTTCATGAATTGTATGCATGGTATTTAAAGTTTTATTTGTTGTTATAAGTGGAATGTTTACTTACAGACTTTTGAACATGATTAGAATTTGCATTACTAGAATAAATAAAATGATGATAGAATAAACAACGATTCATGAGTTACATTAAATGAGTCATTTAATGTAGTCAAGACAATTAAATACACATCATGTACATTCAGTGTTTTAATATATTTTTAATTTCCTCCGTGGAGATGCAAGAAAAGTCTTCATCTGGCGTTCCGTTCTCATTTCAATCTCAGGTAAGCCTTTAAACTTTTTTGGATAACAGGCTTTTGATAAAAAAAAAAACTTATAATGCTCTCTCGCATATTACGCTCATTTTGCACAATTTCAGGAATGCTTAAAAGATACTTCTTCTGCTAAGACCCCTCTTGCTGCAGAACCAGAGGCCACCCCACAGACTGTCATTTTTCACCAGTTTTCCACCTCAAGTACTGTGACAGTGAAGGAACAAACATCTGATGAGTGTCTTTTAGATGCAGGTAATTATATTATACATACAGGCGTCAATGTGTGTAATCTGTCTGCCTCGTCTATGCACACAAAACACAAATACTTAATGTAGTAATTTTGTGAATCTCTTTTAGAACTCCCAAGCACATCACCACTGCCTGTAGCTGCTTCTCCCCGTGCTGCTCGCACTGGACCCATTAAGACAGGTGGCCGAGTTTTTGTGTTGGACCATAACAGATGGACGGATCCAATGAGAAATGCCATTGATGTTTTCCTGGCAAAGCACCACGGGAGCAAGGATCTCCTTACAAATGTGGATGCTGAATATGCTGCTATGGTACAGAGTGCCTGCACTGACCCCAACAGCCTTCTGCACTCAACAACCACAAAGCTCATAGGCAGGTACATAAAACACCTTGCTAAAAAAAAGAACACTAATGCTTCTCTCAACACCAGCCCAGAAAGACTCTTGGAGACACAGCAGTTATGGCAGCGTCTTCACTCAGGTAGTGAAACAATCAGTGTCCCAGTGACAGTACTGCCACCTGCCCCAGTCAATCCACCTGCAAGGACTGTCCCTCTGGACCAGGCAGCGCTCGAGAAGATGGTGAAGGAAATCGTAGAGAAGCAGCAGGCAGTTCAGCAGCAACAACAGCAGCAGGTGCCGCAAAAAAAGCAAACCAGATCCTGTTTAGCCTGTGGCCAGCCTAAGTCTCGATACATGGGTGATGGCTCCTCAATACATTTCTTTTATCAAGGTTGTGATGTTAAATACTTCTACTGCTCCAAGAAAGTATTTGACACTTATTCAGCATAGGGCCTGACGAACCCCAGAATGCCTTTTGAAGACTTTGCAGAGACTCCTTTTTTTCAGCGGGAACTGGAGGCCTCTAAGCAGAGAGGGGCAGAAAGGAAGAAGGTCACTGTGGAGAGAACCAAGCGGAGTCAGCAGTGGAGCATCCTACTGGTCGTCTGTGCAGATTCTGTCACCTGCCACTGAAACAAGGACCCAACAGTCCTCATATTCATACTGGTTTCCCTGGAGTGGCAGGAAAATACATTTACTGTCCTGCTAAAGTGTTTTCCCTTTATCAGGCTCAGGGAATGAGTGCGGAAATGTCATGGAGAGACTTTCAGCAGTCTCCATTCTATGAGGCTGAGAAGCAGAGGTGGATGGAGGAAAAGAAAAAATGACTTCACTGTGTTACAAAGCAGTATTTGAGGTCTGGGCATGTCATTTGCCAAAGACATTCCTTGCACAAGGTTATGTATATATATTTTGTTGCACTTTTAAAATGTTTTTTAAAAATTATTTCATTTATTTCCATTTGTTAATTAAAATACCAAAAGTATTATATTATATTTTATTGTATTGCATTGCATTTTAGTGGGTTTTTATTTTATTGACTTGCATTGTTTATCGTGTTCAGTTTTGTAAGCACTATATGTTAATAACTGTTATTATTAAACTCTGTACATAATTATTTAATGTTAAAATATGTTTTTTTCTTGTTTTTTTCCCCCCTGTTATACACAACTTTAGATTCTATTATTATCATTATTGTTGTTGTAATTTAATCTATAATTTAAAATTATTTTATTTATTTCTATTTGTTCATTAAAATACCAAAAGTAATATATTTTATTGTATTGCATTGTATTTTAGTTTTTTTATTAGTTAATTTTATAAACTTGCATTGTTATTATCTTGCTCAGATTTGTAAACACTAAATGTTAATAAATGTTACTATTAAACATACCTAATTGTACATAATTATATAATTTAAAAACACATTTTTCTTGTTTTTCCTGTGTTCTCCACAACGTTAGATTTTATTATTGTTGTTGTTTAATCTATCATTATTTAATGTATATTTATTTAATTATTATATATTTTGGTTAGTACTGTACTGTAGTAATTACATTTTTCAGTTTTATATCATGTGTATATTATTGTACTATAAATAAAAATTAGAAACTTATTTTTTGCTGTTTATTGGTTACATTTCATATATATGGGTTTTCTGTACATAGTTATACAAATATAAAGTGAATGTCTCTTTAAAAATTGAGGTCTAAAACATGATCAAAATGTTCTTTTCAATTATTCACATTCAAATATTTTCTCTATTATAGATAACTATACCCTATTATAATGTAAATGTTCATTAAGACCGTTGCACATTTTGAATATCCTACACAAGTACAATTATTAAAAGTTTTATTTTATCTTTGTGCACAAAGTTCGTTTATTATATGCTAATCGTACTTAAAGTGTATTTAGATGAAAAATGATTACACATTCATTTTATGTTATTTGCGGCCAAGGCAGGATTCAAACCTTTAATTGCATGTATTTTACTCGTCCCGCCTCCCTGGAATTACCTTCCTTCCTATTGGCTAGTCAGCACTCTACACCTATGTGCGGCTGGCCTCCGCGTGACAGGTGGAGATACTGTCCACTATACTAACGAGGAATTGTGCATGTATGAGCTCGCCCCCAGCCAACGCCACTGCACCGACATCACTAAACAAAGCGTGGCTTTTTCTTACGCTGACCCAGCCCTTACGCCATAAAATACCGGATGGACCCATCATCAGCTGAAGTCGTTTCACTTTTCGAATGCTACACGATACAGGGGTCTTGGCGAGCGTAGTGGTTTACCACAGGGAGCGCACAGGTCCAGCGTCAGCTTCCTGTGTTGGTGGTATAGGGGTGAGCATAGCTGCCTTCCAAGCAGTTGATCCGGGTTAGATTCTGGGCCAACGCGTTTCCTTTGGTTTGGGCTGTGAGGGGGTGACGAAATGCAAATGGGCAGGTGTCGGCTCCCTAGATTACCCTTGGCGAGCGTAGTGGTTTATCTCAGGGAACGCACAGGCCCAAGGGCGTGGAGACACAGCTCGAGTTTCTCTTCATTATCGCATACATTTTTCGCCTTTTACTAAAGATTTCTGTGGAGGGGAATGTTTTGCAAGTGACCTGTATATTTGGAGGCTTTGATCACAGCAGAGCTACACCGGAATGTCAAGAACAGAGTGAACTTGGCCGGTCGCCAACACGCGGTGGGAGTATGCGCAACTGGTCACCTTTTGTATTGGGAGCCTTTGCGGTTCCTGCGTCACCGCGTCGTATTTATTTAGCCAGCATGGAAAGCCAGCACTTTTTTGTACGTTACGGGATCCAAACCCTGGACTTGCTCTCTTTAGTGCCGGGCCCAAACAAAGATCGCATCAGCCCAAACCTCTAGCCCGATCAGCAACTCATGTGCTTTGAGCATTCTTACTGACAGCGAAAGCCGGCATCATCCGCCTGCATTGGTGGAGTAGTGATGAGCATAGCTGCCTTCCAAGCAGTTGACCCGGGTTCGATTCCCGGCCAATGGATTTCCTTTGGTTTGGGCTGAAGTCAAAGCAGAACTGCTTCTGTAACCTCTGGCTGCACCAAAACCTTTTGGATGTGTCGTTCAGCAGCAGAAAAACACTAGCTCTCCCCGTCTTCCGCATGATAGGCGGAGATACTGTCCACTATACTAACGAGGAATAGTGCGTGTATGAGTTCGCCCCCAGCCAACGCCACTGCACCGACATCACTAAACAAAGCGTGGCTTTTTCTTACGCTGACCCAGCCCTTACACCATAAAATAGTCAAGTCAAGTCAAGTCAAGTCTGCTTTATTGTCAATTCTTCCAAGTGGGCAGGTGTCGGCACCGTAGATTACCCTTGGCAAGCATAGTGGATTACCACAGGGAGCGCTCAGGCCCAAGGGCGTGGAGACACAGCTCAAGTTTCTCTTCATTATCGCATAAATCTTTTGCCTTTTACTAAAGATTTCCGTGGAGGGGAACTTCTTGCGAGTGCCCTGTGTATTTGGAGGCTCTGATCACAGCAGAGCTACACTGGAATGTCAAGAACAGAGTGAATTTCGCCGACTGCCAACACGCGGTTGGAGGATGCGCAACTGGTCAACTTCCGTATTTGCAGCCTTTGCGGTTCCTGCGTCACATTTACTTAGCCAGCACGGAAAGAACGCGCTTTTTTGTACGTGTCGGGACCCAAACCCTGGACTTGCTCTCTTTAGTGCCGGGCCAAAAAAAATATCGCATCAGCTCCTCTAGCCCTATCAGTGACTCATGTGCTTTGAGCGTTCTTATTTACCGCGCAATCCGGCATCATCCACCTGTGCTGGTGGTATAGTGGTGAGCATAGCTGCCTTCCAAGCAGTTGTCCCGGGTTCGATTCCCGGCCAACGCATTTCCTTTGGTTTGGGCTGAAGTCAAAGCAGAATGCCTTCTGCAACCTCTGGCTGCACCAAAACGGCAGCAGACAAACACTAGCTCTCCCCGTCGGGGAATCGAACCCCAGTCTTCCGCATTTCCTTTGTTGAAGTCAAAGCAGAACTGCTTCTGTAACCTCTGTCTACACCAAAACGTTTTGGATGTGTCGTTCGGCAGCAGAAAAACACTAGCTCTCCCCATCTGGGAATCCAACCCCGGTCTTTCGCGTGACAGGCGGAGATACTGTCCACTATACTAACGAGTAGTTGTGCATGTATGAGTTCGCCCCCAGCCAACGCCACTGCACTGACATCACTAAACAAAGCGTGGCTTTTTCTTACGCTGACCCAGCCCTTACACCATAAAATACCGGATGGACCCATCATCAGCTGAAGGCGTTTCAATTTTGGAATGCTACACGATACAGGGGTCATTATTTGGACTCTTTTATTTCTTTAATTGTTTTCTCCAACTTCTCAGGTGGAGGCATGAGAAAGAGATTGCATTGCCTTCATTGGGCTTGTGGTTACTGGGCGACTGAAGGGACTTTTGTGACATTTACTCCTCCCATTTGGAGTGAGGGTGTGACGAAATGCAAGTGGCGTGGCTTTTTCTTACGCTGACCCAGCCCTTATACCATAAAATACCGGATGGACTCATCATCAGCTGAAGTCGTTTCACTTTTGGAATGCTACACGTTACAGGGGTCATTATTTGGACTCTTTTATTTCTTTAATTGTTTTCTCCAACTTCTCAGGTGGAGGCATGAGAAAGAGATTGCATTGCCTTCATTGGGCTTGTGGTTACTGGGTGACCGAAGGGACTTTTGTGACATTTACTCCTTCCGTTTGGAGTGAGGGGGTGACGAAATGCAAGTGGGCAGGTGTCGGCACTGTAGATTACCCTTGGCGAGGGTAGTGGTTTACCACAGGGAGCGCTCATGCCCAAGGGCGTGGAGACACAGCTTGAGTTTCTCTTCATTATTGTATAAATCTTTTACCTATTACTAAAGATTTCTGTGAAGGGGAACGTTTTGCAAGTGACCTGTGTATTTGAAGGCTCTGATCACAGCAGAGCTACACAGGAATGTCAAGAACAGAGTGAATTTGGCGGTCTGCCAACACACTTTGGGAGGATGGGCAACTTGTTGGTTGTATAGTGGTGAGCATAGCTGCCTTCCAAGCAGTTGTCCCGGGTTCGATTCCCCGCCAATGCATTTTCTTTGTTTTGGGCTGAAGTCAAAGCAGAACTGCTTCTGTAACCTCTGGCTGCACCAAAACGTTTTGGATGCGTCGTTCGGCAGCAGAAAATCTCTAGCTCTCCCCATCGGGGAAACCCCGGTCTTTCGCGGGACAGGCGGAGATACTCTCCACTACACTAACGAGGAATTGTGCATGTATGAGTTCGCCCCCAGCCTACGCCACTGCACCGACATCACTAAACAAAGCATGGCTTTTTCTTACGCTGACCCAGCCCTTACTCCATAAAATACCGGACGGACCCATCATCAGCTGAAGTCGTTTCACTTTTGGAATGCTACACGTTACAGGGGTCATTATTTGGACTCTTTTATTTGTTTAATTGTTTTCTCCAACTTCTCAGATGGAGGCATGAGAAAGAGATTGCATTGCCTTCATTGGGCTTGTGGTTACTGGGCGACCGAAGGGACTTTTGTGACTTTTACTCCTCCCATTTGGAGTGAGGGGGTGACGAAATGCAAGTGGGCAGGTGTCGGCACCCTAGATTACCCTTGGCGAGCGTAGTGGTTTACCACAGGGAGCGCTCGGGCCCAAGGTGTGGAGACACAGCTCGAGTTTCTCTTCATTATCGCATAAATCTTTCACCTTTTACTAAAGATTTCTGTGGAGGGGAACTTCTTGCAAGTGACTTGTATTTTTGGAGGCTCTGATCACAGCAGAGCTATACTGGAATG